TAAATTTGACATAATTCTCTATATATTTTAGAAATGAGGCCCTTATCAGAGAGACTGGTCAAAATCTTTTTTTTTTTAACAAGGATTCCCAACTGGGTAGTATAAGAAGTAGATATGAGTATACATATCTATCAAACATGCTACATGGGTAGCATGTTTCATCACGAGCCGTCTGGAATCATGGTTGGTCATTGATTGCTTTGATCAGAGTTCTTAAGTCTTTCAAAGTTTATCTATGCGAGAATGTTGTCTCTGTATAAAGTGATCTAGTTCTGCTCACTTCACTCAGTTAATATAAATCTTCCCAAGTTTCTCTGAAATCATCTCCTTCATCATTTCTTATAGCACAATAGTGTTCCACCAAATTTATATACCATAACTTGTTAAGTGGTTCTCTAATCAGTGGACATTCCTTCAGTTTCCATTTCTTTGCCATTGCTATAAATATTTTTGTACATCCTTAGCTAGAATTGTTTTGCTTAGGACTAATCCTTTCCTTGATAAACTTTCTCTCTTATTCCCTTCCCTTTTACCTTTCCCCTTCTGTTTCCATTAAATGAAACGTGTTTCTATACCAAATTTGAGTGTATTTTCCCCTCTTTTGACCAATTCCTTGTTTGTATAGACTTCTACTTTCACAAAGTAGGAATAATTTTCCTTAATCTTCTTCTCCTTCCCCTTCCCCTGCACCTGAGTATTCCTGTTCACCTTTCTTTCCATTCTTCTTTTAAGATCATCAAAACCTAACAGAACTACTCCAGACCCTCTGTCTAATTAGGCTCCCTCTATGACCCCTGGTGATGATACGATCATCTCCCCATATTGGAATATAAACAATTAATCCTTGTTTAGTCCCTTATGATTGCTTCCTCTTTTGCTGTTGTTCAGTCATGTCCAACTTCTTGACCCCATGGACCATAGCACACCAGGCCCTTCTATCTTTACTACCTTATCTCTCAAAGTCTGTCCAAGTTCATGTTCATTGTTTCCATGACAATCTATTATCCA